GTCACCCTCTCTTTTCCATCTGGGAAGGGGACACACGGAACATGGACGGGCGTGGTGGGGCCGGTACCTGCGTGAGCCCCGAGGCTTTGAGCAGCTCCTGGGGGGACCGGCTGCCGAAATAGGTCTGGTTGGGGGGCCGCAGGCCAAGGATGCAGGAATACACCTTGTTCCTCACCTGGAGGGGACACAAGGACACGGAGCTGCTGCAGCTGCGGCCCTGGGAAGGACCTGGGAGGGGATGAGGGGGTCCCCACCTTCTTTCTGAAGTTGAGGAAGTAGTTGGCCTGGTCGATGAAGAAGAGCTCGAGGGCGGAGCGGCGCAGGTTGTAGCGGCGCAGGTGGACCTCGCGCAGGTGGGACAAGGGGCGCTTGAAGTCGTAGCCGATCCCTGCCGAGGGCGGGGGGACATGGAAGCCCCCCAGGTGTCACCATCCCGCCATTCCCGAGGCAGGGATGGGGCTGGGCCGGGGTTCCTCACAGCCCTCGAGGAGCGCCCGCCGTTACCTCCCTCCGTCTCCTCCTTCTCGCTGCTGCCGTCGTAGAAATAAACGTGCTGGGTTGTCACCTCCAGGCGCCCAGGGACCACGGCCACCGTCGTGATGAGCTCGCAGTCCTCCGACACCACCAGCTTCTCCCGCTGGTTCTGCTCCTTGGGCTCAGCCCTGCGTGGCACCGTGGCGTGAGGACACTCTGGTGACACCCCCAGCCCAGGTGAGCCCGCGCTGGGGCAGGGGTGGCGTCACTCACTGGTTGTCCAGGACAGGGAGGTCCTCCTCGGCCAGCTGGTCATCCTCCAGCTCGCTCACCTTGGCCTCCTTGGCCATGGCGAGCGGGAGGGACTCGGCGGGGTTCTGGAGGTGGTCAGCTCCTGAAATGAGGAGGGGGTCAGCAGGACCCTCCACCCCCATGAGCTGGGGGCAGCTCCTGTGAAGGGCTCCCAAATCCAACGCTATCCATGCCACCTCCCAGCCCAAACCCACCGGTGACATCCCTTGCCCGTGGCACGGGAGGACCCACAGGTACCCCAGCGCCACCACCTCACCCAGATTGTCCCGTAGGGCGCTGGCCTCCAAGTGTTGGTCGAAATTGAGGTTGGGCACCAGCTTCAGCCTCATCCGGGAGTAGGTCTCGGCACTTGACAACTTCCAGCGAACCTCCGGCGGGTTCCTGGGGGACAGCTGGGGGTGAGGCACCCTGGGGAGCCCTGGCTGTGCCACCCCTGCCCGGGGACGAGCTGGGGACCCACCGGTCGGCCCAGGCGGAGCGGGGCGAGGTGAGCAGGCGGCACAGGGAGCGCCACTGCTTGAGCACGGTGCTGTGCTGGTTGTTGGTCTGCTTGAGGACGTTGGCGTGCCGCGCGTTCTCCGCCTTGCAGCGCTTCGCCGCCGGCTCCAGCACCAGCTCCTGCCGAGGGGGCACCAGAGTGAGGGTGACAGCAGCCTGGGGCTTGGGGACATCCATAGGGTGACGTCCTCAGGGTAAGGACAACATCGCCAGGATGACGTGGTTGGGATGAGGAGTATCCCTGGGATGATATCCCCGGGATGAGGAGCACATCCCAGGGGTAATGTGCCTGGAACCAGGAGCACATCCCCAGGACAATGTCCCCAGGAGGAGGAGCACTTCCTGAAGGNCCCGGGATGAGGAGCACATCCCAGGGGTAATGTGCCTGGAACCAGGAGCACATCCCCAGGACAATGTCCCCAGGAGGAGGAGCACTTCCTGAAGGCAATGTCCCCAGGATGGCATCCCTGGGGTGAAGAGCACAACCCCAGGATTAATACCCCAGGGAGAGGAGCGCCTTGCTAGAATGACATCCCCAGAGCAAGGAGCACATTCCCTGCATGAATCCTTGGGTGAGGAGCATGTCTCCAGGATGAGGAGAACCCAGAGCAACACCCCAGGGATGAGAAGCTTGTCCTCAGGTTGAGGAGCACCCAGAGTGACATCCCTGGGGTGAGGAACATGTCCCCAAGGTTGAGGAGAACCCAGAGTGAGATCCCTAGGGTGAGGAGCATGTCCCCAGGATGAGGAGAACCCAGAGTGACATCCTCGGGGTGAGGAGCATGTCCCCAGAATGAGGAGAACCCAGAGTGACATCCGCGGGGTGAGGAACATGTCCCCAAGGTTGAGGAGAACCCAGAGTGACATCCCTGGGGTGAGGAACATGTCCCCAGGGTGAGGAGAACCCAGAGTGACATCCCTGGGGTGAGGAACATGTCCCCAAGGTTGAGGAGAACCCAGAGTGACATCCCCGGGGTGAGGAACATGTCCCCAGGTTGAGGAGAACCCAGAGTGACATCCGCGGGGTGAGGAGCATGTCCCCAGGGTGAGGAGAACCCAGAGTGACATCCCTGGGGTGAGGAACATGTCCCTCAGCTGAGGAGAACCAAGAGTGACATCCCTGGGGTGAGGAGCATGTCCCCAGGATGAGGAGAACCCAGAGTGACATCCCTAGGGTGAGGAGCATGTCCCCAGGATGAGGAGAACCCAGAGTGACATCCCTGGGGTGAGGAACATGTCCCCAAGGTTGAGGAGAACCCAGAGTGACATCCGCGGGGTGAGGAACATGTCCCTAGGCTGAGGAGAACCCAGAGTGACATCCCTGGAGTGAGAGGGTAAGGAGCATGTCCAGAGGCTAAGGAGAACCCAGAGTGACAACCCTGGGGTGAGAACCTTGTCCCCAGGATAAAGAGGACATCCCTGGATGACATCCTGGGGGTGAGGAACATATCCCCAGGATGAGGAGCACCCAGAGTGACACCCCAGGGGTGAGCAGAGTGTCCCCAGGATAAAGAGCACGCCCCAGGGTGACATCCCAGGGACAAGGAGCGGGCAGTACCTGGAACAACTTGCGGCTGGCCGCCTTCTCCTGCTCCCGGCGCTGGGAGCTGCTCATCAAGGCGTCGTAACAGGCGTTCCAGAAATTGGACATCAGGTCGTGGCTCCTGGCAAACGTGTCCATCTCAAACTGGGCCATGGTGGGCTGCACCTGGACGAGCGGAGAGGCATTCCCAGGGCTTGGCACCCACCACCCCTCATCCAGGTAACCCCACAACAACCACCCCACCCCACCCCACCCCACCCCACCCCACGGCACCCACGTGCTTCTCGATGAAGCCCCTCCACTCTGGGGTGGTGCAGAAGAGCTGGAAGTCCTCGTAGAAGGTGGGGCTGCCGTTGGTGGGGGGCAGCGAGGGCAGGAACTGCTGCAGCTGCAGGGTCTCGTAGCACTGATCCATCAGCGTGCGGATGATGGGCACCAGCCAGGAGAAGGTCTCCGACCTGGAATCCAGGGAACGCCGCAGGGGCGTCTCCAGCTTCCCCAGCAGGTAACAGGCCTCGTCCCGCCGCGGGGCCGACGTGGTCTGCAGGAGGCTGTGCAGCTTCACGTAGGCCGGCGAGTGCAGCTGCGGGGACGGGGGACATCAGGCGGGGCCACCACGAGGCCACCGCGGTGCCCAGGGAAGGGGGGACCCACCTGGGGGTCCTGCAGCAGGATGTACCCGACCAGCACCCGCAGCCCCGTCTGCGCCATCTCCTTGAGGTCCGAGGTGCCGTCGGCCAGGTGGTGCCACACGCCCAGCTTGTCCAGCAGGCTGCTGACCCCCTCGTAGATCTGGGGGGACACCGTGAGCCCCCAGCCCTGCCAAGCCACCGGCCCCATCTCCCAGCCCTCCTCGGATTCGGGTTGGGGTTTAGGATTAGGGCAGAACCCAACTCGTGGCGAACTAGTCTGGGCTTGGCATGAGGTTGGGGCTCAGGATTTACTTCAGGATTAGGGCTGGAGTTAGGGTTGAGCTGCGGGACAAAGGTATAGCAGTAAGGTTTAGGATGTAGGAAGTACTCCTAATCCTAACAGAGATTACAGGCTGTGAGTTAAGGTTAGGGTTTTGCATTTAAAGAGTTAGGGTTAAGATTAGGATTAAGATTAAGGATTGGGTTTTATGACAAAGATGTGGCGTTAAGGTTTAGGATCATGATTCAGGAGGAACAGTTACACTTAAAGTTTATGAGTTAGTCTTAGGGTTTAGGTTCAGAGTTTAAGAGTATAAAAGGTAGCATTTATGCTAAAGGTTTAAGATTAAAGTTTAGGATTAGGGGTTAGGATTAAGGTTTAAGGATTAAGATTACAAATAAGGCACAGGTTATTTCCTAAAATTAAGATTAGGCTTTGATTTAAATCTAGGATTGAGGCTGAAGTTATTTCCCAAGGTTAGGATTAGGCTTGGACTTCAATTTAAGCATAAATCTGAGGTTATGTTCAAGTCCTGCAGGCGGGGCTGCTTTCAGGGCCAGGGCCGTCATTAGGGATTAGCAGAGCTGCGGCTGGGGATCAGGAATCCCTGCTCACTCCCACCCACCTTCTCGCTCCACAGCGCCTGGTTGTTGTGTCCCTCGGAGAAGAGGAAATCCTGGAGCAGCCGCAGCAGCTTCAGGGCGTTGTGGCTGAGCCCGGGCAGCGCGGCCGGGCCCGACTCCTTCAGGTCCGTCAGCGCCGACTCCAGCATCATCTCCAGCAGGCTGCGGGACAGCAGCGGCTCCGGAGGTGCCCATCCCTCGGGACGCACCCCCGGGACGCGGGCGAGCCTCACCTGCGCTTGATCTCGTCCGGGGGCCGCACCAGCTCGCAGGCCGTGCCCAGCTTGGTGAGCACGGAGAAGACCTGGCCGCGCTCCCTCCAGGCCGCCTCGTCGCAGCCCTCGACCCCGCGCCACGTCACCGAGAAGATGATGTTGGTCAGGAGGTTGCACAGCTCCTCCTCGGGGGTTTGCTGCCGGCGGAGAGGAAGGTGAGAGGCGCCCGCAGCGCCCAGGGTGGTGGGGATGAGGGTTTGGGGCTCACCTGGGGGTTGCTGGTGTTGGAGACGTTGTCGCTGGGCAGCGCGTCCTGGTAGCTGCTCTCATCCAGGACGTTGGACAGGCTGGAGCTCTTGCGCGCTCGCATTCCCGGGAAGGGCTTGAAGCTCTCCAGGGGCGAGGGGGTGCCGGGGCCGCTGGCCGGGGTCTGGGTGCCGCTCTCGGCCGTGGCCATGGAGCTGGTGCTGGCCAGGTCCAGCCCCAGGTCGAAGGGCGAGGTGGAGAAGGGGGACAGCGGGTGGTAGACGCCGTCGAAGGCGGGACCGTCCCCGGGGTTGGAGGACGAGCGGCTGGCCCGGTCCGAGGAGTCGAAGGACTTGAAGTTGTAGGAGTGGAAGGACTTGGTGCGGCCGCTCGGGGAGATGGAGTGGTCGGAGAAGCCCTCGGAGAGCTCCTGGTCCGAGGCCTCGTATCCCAGCGGGAGGAAGACATCGAGCTCCTGGAGCTCGGCGGGCGGCGGGCTCATCCCGTCCTTGCCGGAGGGCTCGGACAGGCGCAGCGGCTCCGGGCAGCCCGCGGCGCTCCGGCCGCGCTGGCGGCACTCGTAGGACTCCTTCACGTAGAGCTTGGTGAGCGTGTCCTGCCAGCCGGCCAGCCTGGCCAGCTGCTTCACCAGGTCCTGCTGCGCGTAGATCAGGTGGAAGAGCTGCAGGAGAAGGGAAAGGAGAAGGAGAAGGAAGGACACTGGATGCTGCTGCTCCAGCTCTTGAGGGATGGACCCATCCCAGGAACGGGAGCACCCCACATCCTCCAAAATCGTCGTGGGGTGCTGGAGCTGTACCGTTCCCATGCTGGCAGATGTGTGTCACCACCATCCCCACGGCCACCGCTTTTGGGCACAGCTGGGTGTCCAAGGAGCTCAACCCGGGGGTGACACCTTTGTCACCTCCCATTGTGGCCCGGCCCCGCTCACCTTGCGGCAGATGTCGAGTCGGATGCTCAGCTCAGCCCGGTGGGACAGGTACACCACGGCCACCAGGTCCTTGTAGTTGGGAGGGTCTGTGGACAAAGAGTCAGCACAGTGGTGGGACCCTTCCCGCTGTCCCCAAAAGCCACCAAAGACTCAGCCCGGCTGAGCCTCGTGGGAAGCCACCAGTGATGATCCCATGGCACGCGGCTGGCGTGGCTGGCACACGGTACCTGCCCCCAGGACCTGCTCCGAGAGGCAGCGGAAGAGCAGCATGGAGCCGGGAATGTCGCTGAGGTAGGAGATGAGCCCGTGGTACCCGATGTCCTTCAGCTTCAGGCGGCTCTTGCTGCGCTCAGGGACCTTCTCGTACTTCAGCATCTTGTAGAGGACCTGGTGGGACAGCGAGAAGAGGCCACCTGGCTGTGACATCCCTTCTGGGGGCAGGAGGCGGTGGGCGCTGGGGACCTGCCCTACCTTGAAGACCCTTTCCCTCACTTCATCCGAGAACCTCTTCTGCACCAGCAGGGAAAAGAGCAGCTCCACATGGCCCGGCTCGAAGAGGAAGGCGAAGAGCTGCTCCTGGGCTGGGGAGCCCTTCAGCAGGCTGTGGATCACCTCCAGTGCTCCACAGACCTGCAGGACACCAGCATGGTTGTCCACTGCCATCCGAGTGCCCCACCAACATCTCATGGCTTCTCCCCAGCCCATGATTCGGGGTTTGGGGACCACAGCGTGGCCGGTGACACACCTGCTGCTCGTCCTGTGCCCCTGCCAGGTAGTTCAGCAAGCTCTGCATCTCCTCCCCGGAGAAGCTCCTGCAGAAGAAATCCTTCACCAGGCTGAAAAGGGACGTCTGCACCGTCCTGACGTCATCGGTGGCCGTGGTCTTCTCCCTGGAGGTGTTGACCGACAGAAATGCGTGGGGATGTGTCCCTCGTCACCCACCACCATCGCCAGCATCATCCCAAATCCCAACACAAAGCCTGAGGAGCTCCAGGGATCTTCTACCCCGGGACATGTCCACCCCACACATTTGGGCCTGCTCATTGCAGAAGCCACCTCACTCCTGGCGGCTGCCGGGGGTGGATTTTGGAGCCGGGCGCCGGCTCAGGGATGGGACATGGCAGGTCCTGCACCCACCACAACGCTCCCACCCCACAAAAATGGTGTTTAGCCAAACCACAGCTCCCGGCTCCCAATCCCACCCCGTCAGCATTCCGGGATTCCGGCCCCGCGCGGCAGCTGACCCGTAGTAGGTCCGGATGGAGTCCAGGATGAACTGCACCCCGTACTTCTTGCGGATGCGCTGCTTGTGGTCCTTGACCACGCTGGCCAGGTACTGGATGTGACCTGCAGGGAGAAGGTGTGAGGAGCCCAGGGAGGCCGGGTGGGATGGACATTCCCAGGCGATCCCTGCTCCCACCTAAGCGCACGGCGAAGTCGCTGTTGCTCCAGATGCGGAAGTCGAAGAGGAGGTGCTGGTAGAGGAGGTGCAGCAGGAGCCCGCTGCCCTCGGAAGCCACCTGCTCCATGAGGATCTGCGAGGCCATCAAGGCGCTCATGTCCAGTAGCGTGCCAGGGACCTGCCACGGGGGACAGGGGACACTTCCAGCCCCTTGGGAACGGCAAGGACGGCGGGCTGAGGTTTTGGGAGCCTCCCCCACCTTGTGCAGCAGCGCTCCGATGATGGCCGGGCCGTGGCACTGCACCAGGCTCTCCTGGTTCACGGCGTGGTTCCGCAGGAAGTTCTTCACCAGCAGCAGGAAGGCGGCCACGCTGTTCCTCTCCAGCCTGCTCTCTGCAGGGCACCGGGACCCGTGAGCCCCAGGGCCCACCCAAACCCCTTCCTGGAGATCCCACGCAGTTGTCTCTCCGAACTTTTCGCCCTGTTCTCCTGTTTTCTCCAGATTTAAGGAGATGGAAGCCTCTGGTGCTTTGAGCTTGGGAATGAGCAGCTGGGTATTGGGAGAAAGCACGTTCCACCCACGCCAAAGGTTCCTGGAGCCACCCTCGCTGTCCCAGGACCGTTTGTTTGTGACTAATTGGGTCATAGCAACATCTAAAGCGGTTCCTCCATTGCCCCGTAACTCCTGGAGCCTCAGGCAAGACTTCTCCTGCCCGTGGTGGACACCTGCCAGGTCCAGGAACCCCCCTGTGGTCACCTCCAGCCACCCAAGCAGGACAGCTCCTGCTTCACATCCCCTGAACTCCTCACCCGAGGACTTCCCCAGCGGGATGAGCATGCCCTGGGCGTTCCTGGAGGATGTCAGCTCCGGCCCCACCAGGTCGTTGGTCTCCTGCTCATCCTCGGGCTCCTCCGTCTTGGACACCACTTGCTCGAGCAGGGGCAGGAGCACCCCCATCCCACCCACGCAGTTGACCACGTCCTGGGGGAGGGAGGGGAGAGGCTTTGCTGGGTGGTGACAGCAGTGTGGAGGAGAAGATCCATGGCACCTGGGCTCCCCAAAAGTCACCTGGTCCCCTGCACCACCCACGGTGGATGATGAGGACCCACGGGACAGATGGGTCACGGTGGACCCAATACCACGGGCAGAGTCCCTGCGGTGTCCAGGGGACCTGTGAGGGTCCTGCCCTGGGACTGTGCCCCAGGAGGGACCCCCCGGCTCCAGGCCATGGGGTGGACAGGTCACCCCGTGCTCAGCCTACCTTGATGTCCCAGTTGACCACCTTGTGTCCCGTCAGCCTCCCGTCCAATCCGTGGCTGGGAGAGAGGTCCAAGCAGATGTTGTTCCTGCAGGCCTGGAAAAGAACACCATGGGAGCATCCTCATCCTCCTGGACGTGTCCCTGGTGGCACAGGGTCCACCAGCCCTGTCCCTGTCCCCAGGGGGGTGGGACAGCTCTCCTCACCTGGGGGGTGTAGTACAGCAAGAGTTTACTGCTGAGCTCCACCAAGTCACCTTCCAGTGTGAACGGGGATGTGACATTTGGTCCTGGGGGAGAGGACTGGGATGAGCTGGGACCTGGTGGGGGAGACCCTGGCCACCACCAGCACCCTGGGGACATCCTGCACGTCCCAGCCTGACACACCTGCACAGAAGAGAGCCTTGACCTGGGCTTGCTGCAGAGCCTCGCAGAAGATGGCCACGGAGCCCAGGTGACCCTCCAGCGAGGTGGGGCTGCCCCACTCCGTGTCCTGGCTTCCGGCTGCCGTGGTGGCCACCACCCCCTCCGTGGGCAGCTGGGTGGGGGTCCAGGAGTGGGGACCGAGGGTGGCGGGGACAGACTGGGAGCGTCCCAGCACAGGGTGCTGGGTGAAGACCAGCTCCGGCCCGTGCAGTGCCGGCGGGTGGCTGGCAGCGGTGGCGGCCGTCGTGGTGGTCCGGTGGCCCGCGGAGCCGATGCAGCAGGAGGTGAAGGACTGGGAGGGAGAAGGGATCACACTGAGCCCCCAGCGAGGCCACGCAGAAGGGTCTGGCTGGGCGCTGGGAGGATCCCCCACCTCGTGGAGGGAGGGGAAGCGGAGCTGCGCCGTTTTCCGCAGGTGTCCGTCGGCGTAGATGCTGACGATGTTCTGGCCGAAGGGCCGGCGGCCGGCAACGTGGACGATGTCAATGCAGTGCTGGGGGGGACAGAGAGGGACATCAGGACATTGCGGTGTCCCTGATGGGAACAGGGGCGGGGATGGGGATGATCCCCACCCAGGCAGAGTCGTTGAAGGCAAACTCGGGCAGTGCCACTGTCATGTAGTCCTTCTTGGTGCACACGGCCACCACCAGCACGCCGCCCGCCGTGAAGAACGCCTCAAAGCCCGTCCCGCCCGCCGTGAAGAAGCTGGTGGAGAAAACCATGGAGAAAACCACGGTGGGGATGGTGCTGCTGCCCTTCCCCACCCTCACCTCGCCCCCTCCAGCGAGCATCACCTGTAGAGCTGCCTCCTCTTCGGCCTCGCCAGCGGCTCCGGCTCCTCCTCGCTCAGGCACAGCCAGGCGTGGAAGGCGAAGGCGCCGCCGGGCCACTTCTGGATGGTGGGCACCATGATCCCGGCCATGCCGGGGCTCAGGTCGAAGCTCTGCAGCGCCCGCGGAGGTCCCTCGCCCCTGGCCATGCCGGACAGCGCCCGGATGACCGGAGCCACGTAGGGGTGCGGCCCCCGGCCCCGCTCGCGCCGCAGCAGCCGCAGGAGCTGCCGCAGCTCCCCGGGCCGGATGGAGAGGCTGCCCAAGGAGCGCAGCAGCTCCAGCAGGTTTTGGGAGCAGGCGCTGGGAAGCGCCGGCTCGGTGGCCAGGGCGCCCAGCAGGGAGCCCACCATGCCCGCCTTGACGCAGGTGAGGCGGCTGGGCAGGGAGGCCTCGCAGAGCCGCCGCAGCCACACCGACAGGAACACCTGGAGATCCCGGCATTCCAGCGCCGGCAGCCAGGCCAGCAGGATCAGCAGGGGCTGCTCGTTGCGGATGGGACGCACCGGGAAGGAGCTGTGGTCACCCTCCACTGCCTGCAGGGACACGAGAGGGGGTTGGTGCAGCTCCAGTGCTTGGAGAGGGATGGATCCATCCCAGACCACCCTGGGCTGGAGGAAGAGACCTTGCGTAGACCCTTGTGCATCCAGAATCTTGGAGACTCCCATGCATCCAGAATTTGGAGACCCCAGACATCAAGGGTCTTGGAGACCCTCATGGATTCAAGATCTTGGAGACCCTCGTGCATCAAATATGCCAGAGACCCTTATGCATCAATCCTTTTGGAGATCCTGTGCATGAAGAATTCTGGAGACTCCATGCATCAAGGATCTTCAGTGCCTCCATGCATCAAGGATCTTAGAGATCCTCACGGATTAAAGTCTTGGAGACTCCCACGCGTTAATAGTTTTGGAGATACTGTTCATCCAGAATTTTGGGCACCCCAAGCATCAAGAATCTTGGAGGCCACCACGTATCAAGGATCCTGGAGGCCCTCATGCACCAAGCATTCTGAAGATTCCTGTGCATCCAGAATCTCGGAGCATTAAGAATATCCGTGCATGAAGTGTCTTGGAGGCCTCCACGAATCAAGGATCTCGGAGACCCTCATGCATGAAGCACCCTGGAGACCCTCCTGTGCCCAGCAGTACCAGAATGAGCAGTTCCACATCCGAAAGGCTCAGAACTCCCAAACCCAAGCACAACTCCGAGTGAAAGACGGACCTGGGACCCCTCGGAAGCTGCTGAGAAACCAGCAGAGTGGAGAGGATGGCGGGCTCAGAACGGGGCCGGAAATCCACAGGAACGCCCAGTGCCAAGAGATTTGCCCAGAATCAGGAAAAGTGGGAATGCTCACCATGTTGAGGAGCTCCTGGAGCAGACGCTGGGTGGGCTGACCCTGGCTCCTCAGCACCTCGTAGAGGTGGGCGTAGCCGATGCGCTCCTTGAACACCTCCTGGAAGCACAGGGACAGTGGAATCCCAGATGAGCCCCACCTCGGGTTAAGCCACCTCAACCCGGGTAAAACTACCCAAATCCCTCTGGTTTTGGGGTGTCCTCCTCAGGGGAGGCCCCCTGCCCACCTTGGCTGACGGCGAGTTGCTCATGATGGCCGTGAGCACCCCGAGGGCGTGGACAGCGATGGCGTCGGAGCTGCTGGCGTTGACCTACGGGGAACACGGGAATGCGGGAGCTGCCGGGACATGGGAATGGGGGGACACGGCCCACCAGGGGTGGTGGTTGGGTTATGGGGTACCTGCTGGAGTCCATCCCCGTTCCACGTGGGAACCTCGTCCCGGGCTTCACCCGCCTCCCGCGAGCCGCCGAGGTAGAGCTGTGGGACACAGGGTGGACATGGGACACAGGGAAGGGGTTCTGGAGGGTCCCCACGCCATGGATGTGCGTGGGGTGAGGATGGAGATGGAGATGAAGGTGCCCAGCCCTGGTGTCACCAAATGCCTGTCCCAGGGTCATTTAAAGAGGAAATGAGGGAGGGAGGGAGGGAGGGAATGAAGGAGAGGGAGATGGATGGAGATGAGGGAGATGGATGGATGGAGATGAGGGAGAGGGATGGATGGAGATGAGGGAGAGGGATGGAGATGAGGGAGATGGATGGATGGAGATGAGTGAGATGGATGGAGATGAGGGAGAGGGATGGAGATGGGGGAGATGGATGGAGATGAGGGAGAGGGATGGATGGAGATGAGGGAGATGGATGGATGGAGATGAGGGAGATGGATGGATGGAGATGAGGGAGAGGGATGGAGATGGGGGAGATGGATGGAGATGAGGGAGATGGAGATGGGGGCATTTAAACTTGGTGTCACCTATCTCAGGTTTGTCTGGCATCAGGAAGGTGACGAAGTTGGAAATGAGGATAGGGATGAAGATGGTGATAAGGACAGGAGATGGAGACGAGAATGGGGATGAAGACAGTGATGAGGATGGAGATGACGCTGGAGATCGGGACGGGGACACTGAGGCACCACCCCGTACCTTGCTGTTCTGGAGCAGGCGGATGATGTGCTCGAAGCAGTTGTTGCTGAGGAACACAGCCTGGAGCACCGGCCGGTCCTGGCAGCTCAGCATGGCCGGGATGGCGTCTACGGACAGAGC